ATTAATATTTTTTATTTTTGGACTAATTCAGATAAAGGGATTTAAAAAGCAACTGGGCATCTGCAGCTGCACTTATCTGAACTTCTCTCCTAAATCCGTTGCCAACTTGCTTGAATGGGTGCTGTGGATGTGATTCTATAATACTGCCATTTCCTCGCAGTGTTTTTGGTAGGTTTTAATAAACAGACTTTTCAACAAACAAACAAAAAGAAAAAAAGACGGCAATAGAGAAATGTTTAGATCCATTGTTGATCTAAAAAAATTTGCTTTATATTTTCATTAAATGACTTCTTTTAATATTTTATTCAGAATACCTATGAACTACTGCAAAACGGTAATTTATTTTTTCCCCAGATCTTGTATTACGTGTTTTTTTCAGACGAGCACAAATTTAAAAAATAAAATGGAAAAAAAATATGGACAGCTATTAGGTAATAAGGGTATCTTTTGATGTGATAATTTGATTGTAATTTAATTTGAGTAGTGATTCCGTAAGAGCTGATTGAGAAAATAAATTTGTTAGAATGAAATAGTCTTTGTCTGATACATTAAAAAAATGTGTCGAGTAAGTTTTCTTAAGAAAATACTGAAAACCTTTTAAATGACGGAATCAAAAATAGAACCAAACTGTTTTCTGTAGCTTTTGATGATATTTTGACAGAGGAGGGAAAGAACCCCCTCTTCACCAGTACTGATGAGGTTAGCCATTTAGAAGTAGTTCCACTCCTAATAAATCCATAGGTAGTTACACAGTATTTCTAGATCAACACATCAAGAGTGTGTATTGGATTGATAAAGCAAGACTTTAGAACAGAAAGCCATTGTTTAATTCCTTATTTAAGGAATAAGTTTAGCACAGTAGTCCCAGGTGATAAGCTATCTATATAACTCCCCACTTCTCTTTTCGCAATATAATCCGCAGAGTGCAGTTTCCCAAGAAAATATATTATTTCCATACATTGTGGTGTGTATAACTATCTATTTAATTTATCATCATCATAATTTAACAAATGATACTTCTAAATATATACATATGAATAAGGAGAAAGAAGAAAACACCCAGAGCTTTAGTCAGAGTTCTGGCAGTTTACAATTGTTGTATTGCTTTAGAGAAATATCTGGGATGTGACATGGGTGCAGATACATAACATATGGTTGCCCCCTTCTCCCACATTTTACAGTGGTCATGTATGATAATAAATGTGAATGTTGGTAATACTAAGGATGTCGGTAGATGTACTACTAACATGCTGGCTACCCTGTTTGTTACTGTTACATAAGGAAGGCAAGGAAGCTAGGAAAGGTTTGAAGTTTGAATCCCATGTTTGCAGTAATATAGTGCTCAAACTGTGTGTTGTGCAGTCCCTCCTAAAAAGAAGTAGAAATCTGATAATGATGACCAACATAAGGTTTTAATGGACTGTTAGCTCCTTTTCTTTAACTTGATAAATGTTTAAAACAAATAAATAATGTTATTTCTTTCCAGTAAGTCTCAGTTTTACACCAGTTAGAACTATACCCTGAAAGGCATTGTTTTAAGTCCAAATTAAACTGGTAAATATCACATGCCTGTTGACTTTGGCAACATCCTAAAATGGATGGGAGAGAGCTTGGCAAGACTAGTATAGGATTTATGTTACTTTAATTTTCAGTGTTCCCAGTTACAATTTTACAACTTAAAAGACAAATGAAGCTACTGACCATTTTGCTGCATGCAAGAGAAACAAGGAAAGAGAATTTCCAATGTGCAGGCCATAAACTTGATTTTACCTGGAGATTCACTAGCATTAATACATGAGATGAAATCCTACATTCAAAGCAATGGAAAGAATGGGGAGGGATGAGGGTGTTTTTTTGTTTTTTTGTTTTTGCCAGAAAGTGAGTCTAGTTTTAGCTATTTGTTTAGTGGTTTTGATGAAAGCCTCATATTTTCTGTTAAGGTGGATTTTAGGTCAGTCACTTCTGAAAGCAAGTATTTGCAAAATATGTCTATCTGTGTCAATACACATAGTCAATCTATCAAGGTGCCTGCCTGTTTTCTTTTTCCCTTTCCTTCCTTCCTTCCTTCCTTCCTTCCTTCCTTCCTTCCTTCCTTCCTTCCTTCTCCCAGACAAATCCTTTGATGTTTGTAGGACCAGAGTTACAGAATTACAAGTCCATCCAGCACTAAGAGGAAGGATTAAGGAGAAAATATGTTCTTATATCATGAAAATGATGGAAATGCTTTATCTCATCAGATCTCTTAATGTTTCTAAGCACTGTATTAACTTACCAGTTCTGTCTTCTGTGATTGATAATTTAAATTGCAACTCTTTAAAGGCACAGCTGGGAGAAAGTTTTATTGAGCATAATGGGATTTACTTCTGAGGAAACATGTTTAAGATCACACGGTTAGAATCTTTTCCTATATTCCATTCTATCAAAAAGGAAAAGAAGGGTGCAAAATATTTTGCAAACTTTATTAAATCAATCTTGATTGATTCCAAGATTTAATGGTTTACATTCCTTTTCTGCAATCTTTTCTATTCCCCCACCCTGAGCTATCTAGTTGACTTCATTACATTCCCGTCTAAATCTCTAACCAATATAAAATGTCCAAATCACCTCACTGTTCACTGTTTTCGACAGGCAATTTTGCAGAATTTAAACAGAAACTTTCGGCTTGTATTTAAATCACAGCAGATTTTTTTTAAAAGAGATACTTTATCTTTTAATGTAGTCAATGGCATTTGCATATTGCAATGGTCGAAACTTGTTTTATATGAAGGGTTTTCAATTGAATCTTTGGAGAACAATCAATTCTAATAAGAAATGCAGTATATATTATTGATAATTTTATCAATAAGTGTCATATTTTCCATAATTTAACAGTTACATTTGTTTTTTAAAAATTATATATTTGTAAAATATTTATCCTGTCGAAAGCAACAATATATCATTGTATTACTATTTATTCGTTTATTTTTGTAATAAAATATCAACATCTTCAAGCTAAAAACAAAATGACATTTCTATATATTTATAGAGATATATTATATATTTATATATACCTGTTAAAGATGCAGATATATTTGCATAAGAAAAGATGGAAAATAAATCTTTGACTGGCAGCTTTCAGAGATGAACCAGTGGCTCCTTAGCCACCTGTATCTTAGTTTTTGTATGGAGTTCCAAGGTGGTTAATCACATTGTAAAATGGGTGCCATACGTGTTGGCCAAGATTGCAGGCTTGTATTGTATTGCATTAGATTAAATGTCATAACTCTCAGTCTCAGGCTATTTTCAAGAAAAATTGATGGAAAGCTAAATGGGAAGAGTAGAGGGGGCCTAAAGAGAGTCACAGTCACAGAGAAACATTTGTCCTTTTTGATGCCAATGTTTCAGTGGGTTCAGGTTTTGGAGAGAAGGACTTGCTAGTGTCGATGCCTGGACTATAAGGTGATGTGGTAAGGACTGATGAAGCAAACAGAAATTGTCCGGTCACTTACTAAAAGCTGGACACAGAGTAACATTAAGGAACGTTAGGATGGTGCATAATGCATGCACGTCTCTGTGTGTCTGAGAGAGAAGGAGACAGACTGAATAAAGATAGAGTAGATCTTCAAGGGTACGTCTTCTGTAGTTCTCCAGACTCCATAGGACAACTTCCTGGGATTCTTAACTGGTTTGAACTGGTCACCCCTGCTGTGGGTTGATGGAAATTAGAAAGAGAAGGGCAAGACTGAGTATGCAATCCTATACGTGTCTGCTCAGAAGTTAGCAGCCCCATTGAATACTCCCAGGTAAGTGGGCAGAATAGCACAGCCTGTCATCACTCTGCCTCAAGCTCCAGTGATGCAGATGGTTGGCCTTGTTTCTCCAGAGACCAAACTCCACTGGTGCTTTGACTGCTCTGCGGCCTCTTCGCCTTTACTTGATGGTCATTTAA